TCTGTACATTAAATGTGCTTGCTTGACTGTGGTCGGATCGGTCGAGCCACATGCGTTAGGAGCCCCGCTTACGGGTCTTCTCAATGCTGTGTCGTCAGATGATATGTCAAACGACCCCATCTTCAATCAGCAGAAGATTGCTGACTTCAGTAGGGCCGGAGGGGGGGAGTGAGGCCGAGGAACCGACCGACGGTTGTGAACGAGGACGCACGGGTATCAGCTGGCCGTTCGGGAGCGACAGCCCATGCGGCGCTGATGGGCATAACTCGAAACTTCGTCGTCCATGTGGTTGTGGGCGCAGATGGCAGAGCGGGCACAAGAGTCCTGGTCACGGACCGGCCGATCGTCTAGCCGATCACCGCGTAAACATGCCCGCACTCTGCGTAACTTTGTGAATTTGTTGCCACCAGCCACCAATCTGACGTCTGAGGTACTTGGCCAAACCTCCCCTGCCTCAAAGTCATTCAACCCCTGCAGATAACGCTTCCAGGCTCGTTGACCTGCAGCCCCTCGACGGAATTCGACTTCGACGTACATGCACACACGATGGTTCGACCGTCCATTTCGACGATGTCAACCGTGTGCCCCACGGACTGCATTGTGGAAGCAGGGACGGTGACTTACGTAGGGGTTTATAGTGCCAGAAGACTTGCGCTGCATCTACCTACACTCTCTCATTCTCCCCCGCCTGAGCCCGATGTCAAGACCAAGTCAAGAAGACCGGAGGCGGGAGAAACTGCAGGTGGATGGCTCGGACGGATCCTCACCTTGGCGTTCCAACACACCCCCTGGTCCACACCACAAATGACCAGGATTTTCACTAACAAAACAGAGATTGGAGGCTGGCGCGGCCGAGGCCGCATCTGGGCGTGCCGCCAACGCCTGCCTTGGATCCCGCTCTGTGGTGGGAGTGCCATTAAGGCCACATTAAAAAGGAGCCATTGCAGCCTGACTCTCAGACCGCCTCCCGTTAAGGAGGAGGTCCAAGTTCCCGGGCCACTAGCGCCGTCCTCCGTTCCGGCCGGTTGCTCCTCGGATTGTCTAAAAGGGAACGAACATTCCAGGCTGCCAGAGTGCGCGGACTCACTCTGCCAGTCTGGCGACGAGTAGGGCGACGGGAATGAGGTGAAAAAGAAGGTGACGAAGGAGAAGAATAAGCAGAAGAATAGAGAGAGGAAGAGGAAAAAGAGGAAGGATGAGGAGAATAAGTATGGTTGTTGTTGTTGTTGTTGTTGTTGTTGTTGTTGTTGTTGTTGTTGTTGTTGTTGTTGTTGTTTCGGGTTGGATTGTTTCGATCATTTTGATGTCATTTGCGGACCTGGGTAGCCTGCAGACGGCGTGGTGCCCAGGAATGTTTAGGCCACCTTTTCTAGGCCCTTCCCCTTTATTGGACAAGCAGTGCCGCCCCTGAATAGGGCTGCCTGTGTGCCTGGTTGGCGCGACCGAATTCCACTATGGGGCCACCGCTTTATTTTTAGTGAAGAACGACCGCAAATGCCGTGAGTCCGCGGTGTCCGTCGGCGTAGGTGCGAGCGTCTCAGCGAAGGCGAGGTGGAGACCCATCCTGGCAGCTGCTGTCCAACGACGTACCAGGCAGAGCCTCGTCTCGAAGATGCCGGCGCAGTGTTTCATCCGACCGAACGTCCAGCGGAGTCCGCAGTACACTGCGCACGTTGTACAACGTGTACAGCGCCCTCACTTGGTTTAGCCCGCCGGTCGAGGCGGTTGCCCGGTGTGTGGCCGCTGGGCAGAGCCCAGCTACGTGGAGCCACAGGTGAGAGTTGGCTGTTAGCAAATGGACGCCAGGTGTAGTGTCGCCTGCAAGCAAGTGAGCGACCACTACGACCATCACTTGAACCCACCGCCGGACACCCCTACACCACACACACACTCACACACACACGACAGTTCGACCATCGATCTCGATGATGTCCACCGTGTGCACCACAGACTGCATTGTGGAGCAGGGACGGTGACTTGCGCAGGGTTTTATAGTGCCAGTAGACATGCGTAGCCTCTACCTACACTCTCTCCTCTTCCCCCGCCTGAGCCCGGTGTCAAGACAGAGTCAAGAAGACCGGAGACAAGGGAGGCCGCAGGTGGATGGATCGGACGGATCCTAACCTTGGCGTTCCACCACACCTCCTGGTCCACACAACAAATAACCAAGATTTTCACCAACAAAACAGAGATTTGGAGACTGGCACGACCGAAGTCGCGCCTGGGCGTGCCGCAAACGCCTGGCTCGGATCCCACACTGTGGTGGGGGCGCCATAAAGGCCACATTAAAAAGGAGCCATTGCAGCCTGACTCTCAGACCACCACCGGTCGAGGTGGAGGTCCAAGTTACCCCGTCAGTTGGCAACCTTCCAAGCCACGGCTTTTAGCGCACCGTGATAGCTTCAAGCGCGTCAGATTGAATATATTGAGGAGCAAGTGCACTGAGTCGTCAACATCACTCTCTCTCCCCACTCCCACACCCCAGCCGCCGTCGGAGCCGGTCGGCAAACTGGAGTGGGGAATGGGCGCGGTGGCTGACATGGTCGACTGACCATGCCTGCGCGCGCCACAGTACGACCTGGCCCCCCATACACACACAAACACCAGGATTTCACACAACGGGGGTTGAACGGTGTGTTTCTCACTTGCGTGAGAGTGCCGTGGAAGGTGCTGCTTCAGCCCGTCCCCAGCCCGCAAATCCGTCACTCCACACAACACACATACAAAACGCGACGATTTCGTGAATCGAGAGCGGGCGTCAATCAGCAACATTCATATCCACGACAATTGACGTGTCGGGATAGTCTCGGACTCAAGTCACCCGTGCAGCCGAAGCCGCGTGGGGACCGAATCGAGATGCACACTTCCCACTTGCGTGGAAGGTGGCAGTTGGTGCATGCGGTGGGTGAGTGTTGGTGCGTGGTGTTGATGGTGGAGGAGGGTAGGGAGTGTGCGAATGTGTGGTGTGACCGGCGGTTGTCTACCGCAGGTCGTCGTGGATGCGCATGTGGCCGAATAGACCCACGCGGTGCCTGAAAGTGCGAGGACAGTGTGGGCAGTTGAGACGAGCTTGGTGGGTGTAGGTTAGTGCTCCAGGCACTGGTTCTCCGGTCTCTGTGCGATGGATTCGCAAG